CACTCTACAACGTTCCAAGGGGGCCGAATAATCCGCTGCCTTCCCTCGTGACACGACGATCGGTGCGTCTGCACCGGTGACGAATGCCCTCGGGGACGCGCGATCGGTATAATTCGTATAATAATATTTCGGCTACCGTCTAGTTACTCCGATTCGACCTGCTCTCCTTTCGCGCATTTGTTCGCGCAACGTTGAAGCGTAACTGCTATCGCCACGGTAGTAGTTTAAATATTGATAAAGCAGTGTGTACGTGTCTTATCGGCGCGAGTTAAAATGCACGGCGCGCGCTATCGATGTCAACTTTCGATTCGACCTTTCCGAGGCTGCGCGACGGCAGATACGAGTCGTCGGGTATGACCTCGCGTATGGAACTCTTCCGTAGATAGCGCGATTTCCATATCCGCTATTCCGTTCCCCGGCCGGGATTTCTTCATCTCCGGGTATCTCTCTCTTTCTCTCTCTCTCTCTCTTTTCCTGCGGCGGCCGATTTCGCGATCGAGGAGAGCCGCACCACGCTCGCAATCGGGTCGCCCGATCGGGACTCATGCGAGGTCTCTCTGTTTGTTCCCAACAGGAAGTAGTCGTTCTCAAATCTAGCGCACTCGTGCGCACACACAACCCGCGCCGCGACACGATTCTCCGCCGTGAGGTCGATCCGTCGGGCCGATAACCCGGGGGAACCTTTTGCGCCCCGCGATGTGACAGTGACAACGTACCGAAACTGGTGTACAATATGCGTGGTTGTGCGCACTGCCGTTGGACCGCCGCGACGTAGACGGTGCGATAGTTGTGAGCGGAGACGCGTCGCGAGAGGGAACGCGCGCCGTGTTCCTCGGCGAGGATGGGCGAATTCGTGAAATAGCAAGAAAGGCAGAGAGAAAGAAAGAAGATTTAGAACAAGAGAAGAGCGAAAGAGAGTAAAGAAGGAAAAAAAAGAGCGAGAAGAAGAGACGTACGCACGCGAGCACGCGGCGTTCTACAGCTGCAGCTGCAGCGCGCGAAGAAGGGAAGAAAGACGAAGAGATGTCGTGGGCCAGCGTGGCCAGTGTCGCTCAACTGGCGGCCTCGCTAGCCCTGCTCCTGAGACTCCTCGTCGCCACGGCGGATCCGATCACGCAGACGACCGACGTCGAGCAAATCTTCGAACGGACGACCTACTTCGTGCCGTTTTCCACGGAGAATGACAGCGATATCGGAGGTAATTCGGCGGGGTCATCTTCATCGGGGGCAGAGAGGCTGGGCCTCTCTCTAGTCTAGAGTTGTGCCTTCCTGTTCGGGGGAAAGCGAGGCGTAGGGTAATAATATAGCAAGAAAAATTATGAGGAATAATTTACGCGTTGATGAATTACGCGAAAATATTAGAAATTGAATATATATAATATGAAATGAGGAGATAGAAATAAAGCATGATAGAGACGAAGAAGCGATATACTTCGAAGTATTATTTTGTAGCATCTTCGTTAGATCGAGGTAGGATAGCGTTTAGCGGATAAGATCTCTCGTTGCGAATACTCTACCGCGAATCCAAATCTCCTTCAATGTGGCGTAAAATTACAACGATACGATATTAGACGATCTGTAAATCCGATCTGCGTGTTGCGTCTGGAAATTGAAGTTATTTACGTTTACGCGTTTCCGATTACCCAAACAGTTGATAATCGAGCGATTGTCACGGTGCAGCGACAATAAAATAAATCGAATGATAACATTAATAACGATAGTGCAAAGAAAATAAGCTCTGAATCTAATTTATATTCGCGCGAGTAAACGCGCCGCGTGTCGCGCGCTCGGAATATGTAAAATCAGTCCAGCCGGTAAAAATCTGGACGCGCGCGAGCGCGCGCGTTTAGCGCGTAATTAATTGGCAAAAACAAATGCACGCGCGCGAGTTTCACTAAGGAAATGCCATGCGGCCGGTTTCGAGTATATTGCGTTGCTCGGCACACGCGACAGCGCGGCGCGGCGGCGGCCGCCGCCGCCGCGTGTCTCGTAATCACCTTGCGAGCATAAGACTGTCCACTCGTGTAATCGACGCTTAACTCATTTCCCGTTCCGTCTCGATTTCGCGGAATGCGACCGGCGGCGACGACGGCGGCGGCGGAGGCGCGCGGCGGTGCAACGTACGTGCGCGCCTCGTTCTCGCACCGCGTGCCGCGCGAAACGCCTTAAAGGACGCGTGCGCCTCCTCCTCGAACCTCGCGATTCGCGCCTACACGATGTGCCACACATCCAAACGATTGCGCAAACGTTTTTTAAATAATGCACACCGACGCGCGCGTGCATACACACGTGCCGCCGCCGCGGTATTATGACACAAGCGTGAATCGTTTGCCGGTTTATTTTGTAACCTCCTTCTCGCGTTGCAATTGCAGCGCGCCGCGCGCGCACTGACTTTGTGCGTCACGGGAAAAAACGATATTTTGCAACATTTTTTTTTATTGCGCGCGTGAAATTCGCCGTAATTGTGGATCGGCCAGCGTATTGTTTGCCAAGCGTAAATGCGTAATAAAATATTTACAACATTGATTCCCCCCCCCTCCCCCCCGCCTCTTCTTCACCCCTTTGTGTTTTCGTACCTAAAAGAGTTGCACACGTCACATCTGCTTTTTTTTTCACGTGCGCGGTGTACAGCATACAGCATGTGCATCGCCATGGCAACGATTATACTTACTGACCTCAAGTGTCGGCGGTGTATAAAATTATGGAAATACGGCCCGTCCGCAGAATTGTCTTCAAGAGCGGCAAAATCGCCGTATTACGCCTCTCTCTCGCGCGCGCGAGAGAGAGATCCGGATATTCTATTTTTACGGCAGGACCAAGGCCGGTATAGCCTAATCCAGACGCGCGTGAATGCATGTCAGGGTCTCGCCATTGTGGATTCAATCATTCCTTGAGAACAACTTTTACGAGGTAAGAAAGTTATTGGCGCGAATAAGCTACAATGTCGAGAAATATTATCTCCGTTATTCGGACTCGCCGAGATAATTAATCTCCTCTCCGTCCAATTAGAAATATCGCACTGGAGAACTTTGGGAAATCCCGTGCATAATAATCAAAACGCATAAATTATTCGATCAATCGAAGTCGCTCCGCTCGCGGAATGAGAGTCGGGGAACTCGGGATAGTTTGCAGCCGCGGATGTAGCGGTGCAAATCGAAGTGCACGCAGGCGTAAGTCCGGCGCACACGAAGCAGGTACCGCGGATTCCTTATCGGCTGTTCCTTTCACTCGTGAACCGTTACTCAGTGGGAACCTATCCTAATAAAAGCACTTTCGCCTACATAGCTATCCGCCGATCCCTCGGTTCCGCGAAACGAACGATAATCCGTAGGACACACGGGCGGACGTGGGGGGTTTCTCTTTCCCTTCGCTCCCCCGCGACGGCCGCGGCGGAAGCGGCGGAAGGCAAGGCGCATCGCCGCTTTGGCACGCGCTTCTCTTTGTCGCGTATAGGTAATCGCTTTCCGGTCTCGCGCGGGATGAGATCATTTCGCGATTTGTCACAGAATCGTGGCTTCGCCGAACATGCAGAGCATCAGCAAAAGTTCTAAGTAGCGTCGACATAGATCGTTTACCACACGCCACGTGCAACGATCGCGACCTTGCGCCTTGCGGAGGCAATTCCCTCCCTTCTCCCGCGTGTAATCGTATTCGTTTTTCAGCCCGATAGTAACACGAGAATGCGAATTCCCCGGCTCGCGTCTCTCTATGCGTGCACAGAGACTCGACATGACATCATCCCGCCGCCGCAGCTCGTAAAGCTTGTAAAAGGTATCTCTCCCGCTCTCCGCGGTCGACACCAGCCTTGCGGTTTTTTATTACACGTCGTTAATCTGTAGCGCGTATATTCGATAAGCACTAAACTGGAGTATCGCACAGGGGATGACAAGGCGAGAACTAACGACCGGCGAAATAAATTCCATGGATAGGAGTCAACGAGAAAAAACGATTTTCTTGTCGCACATTGTCGATAACATTGTCTATGAGTACGATGATTTCATAATCGCGCTTTAAGAAAAGACTTCCTATTATATTCTTATCTTAATTTCGGTAAGAATCTAGTTTCGGTTTATCAATATTACGTATATCTCTTCAAGTATCTCTTCGTTTTCTTATTTTATCTAATCGGTAGGTGCGACAGGATCTCTCTTATATCTACTATACGCGCGTCACTCACGCTCTACTTAAAGCACGTCCGAATGAGCTGTTTAAGCAAGTCTACTGTCAATGGTTTTACGCGGCCGAGGATAGAATGCAAATCAATTTGCATGTTTTATACTGCACACCGCGCGCGGCGTATGGTAATACGCCGCGCGGCAGATGTATGAATATTCAATAAATTTGAACTCTCTTATGAACGCCCGGACTGCCGTTTATTCATCCGTATTATTTATTCTAGAAAATGGAGCTTTAGAAAAATGAAAATACAGTTGGGTCGGGTATCGATATCTGCTGCTGTTACTCGAAGAAAGAGAAAGAGAGAGAATAACAGATAACCGTAAACGTATAGTAATAGACCCGACATGCCAACTGTATCCCGAGTAACAGAAGAGAAAGAGAGAGAGAGAGAAAATCGAGTCATATTCTTTTCTTATCAACGCGACGCGTAGTAAAGAGCGGGATAAGATCCGATATCTCGTATCTCTCTTCCGTTATGTCTGACCCAAACGTGTAACACGCAAAAGACGCGCGGTGCCATAGAAAAGGTGCATAGAATGCGCGGGCACATGCCCGGGTCTATTTCTTTATGTCTATATGTAAATAGCGTGTACGAGGGAGCACGGTTACGGAGGGAGGCGTTCCGACATGACAATGAAAGAATGAAGTAAGGAGAGCTTACCGGAAAGTTCGCTATTTCTGAAGCGCGCTGAATACTTTGTCTCAGCGCCACGACGCACGTCGCGCACGATGATGAGGCCGAGGGGGGGTAAAGGTTAAATCGGTTTATTGTGATGAAAAACGCGCGTGTGTCATTTCGTTTTTTCTTCTCTTCCTTCCAGCGCCGACGAAGCCGGAGAATCTCACCTCTCGGGGAATCACCGGCACCACCATTGGGCTCTCGTGGTCGGAGCCCGAGAATGCCAACGGTGTCATCGCCGGTTATCGCGTCTACTACATGCATTCCAATTACACGGACGTTAAGATGCACTTACCCGACAAATCGGCGGACTCTGCGGACACGTACATCGATTTCCTTCTGAAGGAATTGCGTAAGTATATTATATATATCCGCAAAGATAGTCGCGCGAGAGACGTGCAACTGACGTGCACAAGATTACTTTAAACGATGCCGTCTTCTTATTATCTTATATTCTAAATTATTATTCTGAATCGCGTGAACGAGCCAGCGGATACCCGGACAGCGTTGCGCTTGAGTTTACCTTTTTTTATTTTATTTTAACGCGCATGAACGTTTAACGTCGGTCGACGTGCGCTAGCCAGCCTTTATGCCTCTTTTTTTCTTTTTGTGCGCCAGATAACACGAGATTAACCATGTAATCTTCGCTCGACAGCGAATAGTCGTTACAGCACAGACGACTTACCGGAGATAGGTCGGTGTACTTAGCTTATTGATAAGGAAAGCTCGAACAATTCTTATCGCCCTCACGCACCTTCTTTTTCTCGCGCTCCGACCACTCGGTGCGCATATGTAAATGTATCGCTATAAACAATTCGTTACAAATAATTCGGACGGAGGAGTAACTAATTTAGCGCGCGCGAGTACCTGATTGATATATGGAAAAGGAGGATCCCGACTAACAAAGATCCGATCGGATCACCGGTCACCGTCAAAAATAGCCACTCTCTTCATTCATGAAATTTAATTTGCTCAATTGTTATTCATGACCCGCCTGCCCCGTGTTGCAGACCCGTTCACCGAATACAAGATCTGGGTGAAGGCTTACACGCGGAAGAACGAGGGCGAGCCGTCCGATCAGATCATTCGTAGGACCGACATAACAGGGCCGAGCGCACCGCAGATCTTGAATTTGACTTGCCAATCCCACGAGTCCGTCTACGTTCACTGGGCCAGGCCGGCGAACTTCTGGGGCTCGATCGACTATTACTACATCAATTACCGAAGGGACAATGGGAGATATTACGAGCAGATCGAGCTGATGGCCGACAAAAATCATCTCGAGAGCGGGGTACATTTTACAATTCAATATTTAGCGATAAATCATCACATTGAAGCAACATAGGAAAGATTAACACATTTTGTATATAATATAACGATTTGCAAATAGTTTCGCTATCGATAATAATATCATTAATAAGACAATTCTATTATTTCTTTTTGTTGCTTTCACCTCGTCAGCACGCTGAGAAAAAAAGTCTGATAATAATCAAGCCTAATAGATGATAGTTATTGAAGTTTTGGTGAGATAGTTTCAAACAAATGTTCAGTTAATATAATCAAAATTAACTAAATACTGATTTTATTTTTGTAAATATTAATAATATTTAGTAATTATTATCAAATGGTTGATTGTTATGTTCGATAATATTCACTAAATATTGCACCAATACGCTAAACAGTAAACAAAATACATTTGGTAGCTACTATTGTCCTAGACTTTTTTCTCAGTCGTTCTAACAAAAAGCAATTAGGCGCGCGGCCATAAGAAACGTATGCAAATTCATGCTTGCAGGCGATCATACCCAACCTGACGGTGAACACCGTTTACGAGATCATAGTACGGGGGGCCACCAGGAGCACAATAGACAGCAGCCTGATCATTCAGGGTGACACCTCGATACCAACAAAGGTGCTGGTCACCCGCGACTGCGACAAGATACCACCCTTGATGCGCCGCAGCAGCAAGGACCTGAGCGCGGGCGTGATCGCCGGTATGGTCTGCGCCTGCTTCGCCGTGATGCTGGCGATTACGTCCTTCGTGCTGTGGAAGTAAGTCACGGTTTAACGCACGGCGCGTTATCGCACGTACGGAGGAAACCTTAGCTGCATCCGGACCGCCGCCGCTGCGCCGGCCCGGGCGATACATTTCCGCGTCGCGCGCCGACGAGCGCAGCCGCGCGCGAAAAAGGAAGAAAAAAAGCAAAAAAAAATCGAGACTCTTCTTTGTGCGTATCATATAAAGATTGCCTGTCTCTCTTGTAACGTCTTTTTAAACTTCCGATCTTTTATCCGGGCGATCGCTGTGATACGCGTTGAACAAAGCCTTCGCCATCTTTTCCTTTACGTAATTACCATATAATTACAACATCGAGATTAACCGGCGATTAATTAACAAATTAATAACTTCTTCATCGCGGCCGGATGCAAAATACATTACACAGTCGAAAGGCTTTAGAATGAAAAACCACAAAACGGAAAAGTGACAAAACGACTCGAGAGACTATATACTACTTTCTCCCGCTGCAACGGATTCGAGTTACGCTTTACAGTTACGGCCGATCTTGCCAAGTATTATTTCGCATCGCCGACGTTTCACTTCCGCTCGGGCTGTGCGCCGGCCGATCTAAACGCTACAAATGATCCGTCATTTTTGTTAGCTGGAAATTGTCGACCGGACGATATCGGAGTGCGAGCCGCGCGTGCCTGGATCGCGAATCGCATTTCGAGTGCGGGCAATTAGAAAGTTCCCGGCGAGCAAGCGATGCAATCATGCGCACCTTCGCACGCACCCGCGCAACCATTTTTTTTCCCATTCAGGCTTTCCCGCTTGATTTCCCGCTGCAGTCCGTATTGTCCTGGCAACCACTTCTTTATCCTCCGATTACCTCGTTCTCGGAAGAAGTTTCTACGGTACTTAATTAAATTCCTACGCTATATTTCACTTTATAAATTAATATCATGGAAATCAAGTGATTTCATATAAATATATTCGTAAAGAATATTTTTCAAATTAAATAAAATGAGTTTTTACAATTTTACTTTAAATTAAATTTGTTATCGTCAATCGCGATGCACAATACAAATTATTTGAATGTATGTACGATTATTAAAGCCGATTATTAAAAAGTTGCAATGCTTTTTTCAATGGTTTTTGGAACGCACGAAAATTTTGAAAATGCGCACCACTTTCTAGATGCGTTATGGTAGTGGTTTGCATTTTCAAAATTTTTGCGCGTTCCAAAAACCGCTGACAAAAGGTGTTGCCTTTTAGTAACCTGTGCATACATTATTCTTGTAGAGTGTAGACGTCTGAAGCTATTTTTAAATCGCACCTCTCTCTCTCTCTCTCTCTCACCTCTCTCTTTCTCTCTTTAGCAACGAATTTTTATCGAACATAATTTACGGAACGCACTGTACGAAGTGCCAAGATATACGATACGTATTTCAATATATCCTGACGCTCTCTCGCTCTTACGTCTCTCTCGCGTTATCGCGAGATAACGAGCGGTGACAAGGCCTAAGTATGCTCTTACAGTCACCGGAGCCACTCGTGGTGCGCGGCGGTGCGGAGCGGAGCGGAGCGGAGCCGAGGCAACGCAGCGTGACGCTACGCCACGCCACGCACCCGACCGCGCCGAGCTTCTAGACTCTTGCGAGCCGCGAGCGAGAACGCGTGTGCCGTGCGTGTCCCACGAGAGAAGGAGGTTTCCGTTCTTTCTCATCTCCGCTCCTCGCGTCAGTGTGTCTCGGGTGACGTTCGGGAACGACGTGAGCGGTAACGCGAGTGATGTGCGAAGGACCGGCCGTGGCTGATGACAAGCTCATTTTCTGGGTCACGGACGAGGTCCGGCCTAATCATTATTCATTTCGCAAGCACGTTCGTTGATTCGCGGGCGGCCTCGCCTGTATGATGGATGCTGTCGCTAAGATTATGCCGCCGAAATCGAAATGAAGAAGTTTTTCCGTAACTTGTAAGTTTCGCTCGAGCGGAGTCCACCGATCTCTCCGGACGTGTCGTACACGAAGGAATGTGTTATCGGCATTGATTTTGATGTATCAATATTTGATCGTTGCTATCTGCCCAACCCACACACGTGTTCCTCATCGATATTACAAGCTCGGCGGCGCGGATATACTTGCTTGAATAATTCGTATGGAACGCGATTCTTTTATTATTTAACGCGGTTTACAGACGATACGTATACGCTTGAAAATTGTTTTAAAAAAAAAAACAATTGTTTTTTAATAAAATAATAATAGTATGAATAAAAACGAAAGAGTTTCTAAACTTTCTAGAGATGCGCTCTGAGAAAGGAACAGATATATCTAAACGTACCTTTTTCTTTTCTTATTTAGACCGATCTTCAGGAAATGCTTCCACACTGCCTACTATTACCTGGACTACCCGCCGCGGAACGTTCCCACCCTTCAAGAATGGGAGAACAGCGAGCAGGACGGCGAGAGGACCGCCGTGGCGGTCCAGCAATTCGTTCAGCACGTCGCGAGCCTTCACGCCGACGGTGACATCGGCTTCAGCAAAGAATACGAGCTGATACAGTCCGAGACCGGCGATTATACCGTGGAGAATTCCCAGTTCGCTGAGAATAAGGCCAAGAACAGATACTTGAATATACTCGCGTGTAAGTAGCCATTGACGTATATCGGTTCGCTCGTGCGCGCGCTGTCGTAATATTTACAAACGAAAGGAAACATCTTAATATAGAACCGGTAATGCCGCCGCTCTCGTCCCGCACGACGCCCCGCGCGAGTGCGTCCAGTTTTCTAAAGGATGGGCGTCCACTCGCCGCGGCGCGACGTGAATACGTATATTCGCGCGCTCCGGTTTATGATTTATTTTAGTTCCTCTGTCTGACCCCTCAGTCGCTGACCCCCTACTGTCGATACCATCTAGCGCTGAAATTATGACGTATCATTATCAATTTCGACGACAAGAAATTAAAGCTCGAGATAGACTTATCGGTCGGATAACAACAAATTCGTTCGCGGGAATGAAGTAGAATTTTCGACGAGAATAATACCGTCGCATATATACACACTTACTGAATGAAATTATACTGAATGGAACAATCGGCATGATCTCACAGTTAAAATGAGACAATGTAAGATGTGTCTCGATTTTCTTGAATAGCACGCTGATTTTTAATCGCGTCGCGTCGGACCGATAAGTGGACAATCGTGTAGTAGCGCGATTTAAAACCCGGTATTTTTAGTAACCGAGTAATAAATTATAATCATGGAAATTACGGCTGAAATGAAAATGTGAAGTCGTCCCCTTAACTCCATTGTGAAATGACTAATCTCCACTCCTTTGCGTTATTATCATTAGACGACCACACGCGCGTGCAATTGCTCTCCTGCGGCGGTGGGCCGCCTAAAAAGGGCCAGGATTACGTTAACGCGAATTACATCGACGGATGGCAAAGGGCGCGAGCTTACATCGGCACTCAAGGCCCGCTCCCGCCTACGTTCGACGGCTTTTGGCGGATGGTTTGGGAGCAGCGCGTATCAATAGTCGTAATGATTACCAATCTGGTCGAGCGCGGTCGCGTAAGTATAAAGTTGATATCGATATTTATTTTTAACAACCAAAAGTTACGTAACAAAGTGCTGAAAAAGAACTGAATAGATATAATCTGGAAAAATAAATCATTCACACGCTTGGCTTGCTATAATTACGTTGAAGAAATACGATTTATCGAAATATTATGAAGAAATCTGATTTGTCGAATTGTTGTTGTCATGAATTATTGTTGCTTCTTGTAGAGGAAATGTGATATGTATTGGCCCAAGGAGGGGACCGAGACGTACGGTTACATTCAAGTAACTTTAGTGAGGGAGGATATTATGGCCACGTACACCATCCGTACTCTTCAAATTCGGCATTTAAAGGTATATGTTTAGAATTAGAATGCACGCGCGCTTAAAGCATTCCTCGGTGAGGAGTGGACGTGGGGAGGAGCATTCGTAGCGAAATCAAGAGCCAATAATCGAATAATCATCCCAATGAGAAATTCTTTCTTGGATTTTTAAGCAGATCAAAAAGAAGAAAAATGGGACCAATATGGGCGAGCGCACTATATGGCAGTACCACTACACCAGCTGGCCCGATCACGGCGTGCCCGATCATCCATTACCCGTTCTGAGCTTCATCCGCAAATCGTCCAACGCTAATCCGCCCGAGGCCGGACCCATCGTGGTCCATTGCAGGTGAAAATTGCATTTTAATGAACAATTTTCAAATAACAAGGACTTTTAACCCTTTGCGTCATGACGGAACGCTCAGCGTCCCACCTTTTGCCGCTCAGTTTTTTATTATTTTGATAAAGCAGTCAAAATTTGTGCTTTGTTTTGAAAAAATGTATTTTCTATTATTATCAATATCAAAACGGTAATTTGGCACTTGTTTAAGATATCTTAAAGTATTTTTCAGAAATTTTTTCACATTATTTTGCTACGTTGTTTTTTTTTATTATAAAAGAATAATCTTTGAAAAATATGACAAAATCGATAATTTCTATTAAATTTTAAATCCAAATAAATAGTTTGAATATCTTTTATAATGGTGTTTTAGGGATTTTTTTATCACGAAATGCTAATCTATGATCAAAATTATCAAATTAAATTCAAAATGACAGAACCGGTATGATAGATTAAAATAAAAAAAATTTTGAATTGTAAAATTCTGACTTCTAATTCGTAATCAGCGACCTTTAAAAAATCCCTGGGTACAAAGTTTTAAAAAAATCGGTCTTATACAAAAATTCATGACACAAAGAATTAATTTGACGTTGCACTCTTCGAATCTTTTTCAATATTATTTTAAATTTCTATCTTTATCGATAAAAGGAGATATCACTTCCTCTATTTGACATACGAAATTATTTCTTTCTTTCAGCGCCGGCGTCGGACGTACCGGAACGTACATCGTGATCGACGCCATGCTGAAGCAGGCTAAAGCCAAGGACGAGATCAACGTGTTTGGTTTCCTCAAGCACATCCGCACTCAGAGAAACTTCCTGGTGCAAACGGAGGAGCAGTACATCTTTATTCACGACGCCTTGCAGGAAGCGATCGAGAGCGGCGAGACCAACATCGACGCCAATAACTTAATAAAGCACATTCAAGACATGCTGTGCCCATCGAATAACAAGACTGACGCGTGGAACAACATCGAAGCTCAATACAAGGTAAACTGATTTCTCCTTGAATTTGTCGATGCACGGTGAACGTTGTGAATCACCTAATCTAATAATTTACTCGCTTCTCTGTAGTTGGTGACGTCGTGGAAACCTAAGGACTTCAATCTCGTATCCGCCACCAAAGCGTGTAACGTCAACAAGAATCGTAACATGGACATTGTCCCGATCGAGAACGCGCGCGTTCACCTGACGCCGAAACCGGGCGTCGATGGAAGCGACTATATAAACGCGACATGGGTTTCAGGTAGGTATATCAATCCGTGGCTTTCCTCTTATCGAGGAACTGCATAACAATTGACATCCTTTGAATTCCTCGTTGTGGCTGCTGTGCGATAATTTTTATTACTCCGGTCGGCGCTATTTTGCGATTTATGCCACACGTCGATCTCACGTTGCCGGAATTTGCGAAAGTGCCAAACCAAACGATAAAACGCGTGTGGTATTTCCAGGCTTTCAACGCAACCGCGAGTTTATCATAACGCAGCATCCGATGGAGAGCACCATAATGGAGTTCTGGCAAATGATGTGGGACCACAATGCGCAGACCATCGTTATGTTAACTCAATGCGACGAGGTACGTGAATAATACGTTTCGAAGTATAAAATAATCGTATAAAAGAAATGAGGCCTTTGTAATAAAGATTGCTGATCCGACAGGAGTATCCGGAGTTCTGGCCCATCGAAGGAAAGGATCTCGAGTCCGAGACGTTCCGAGTGCGACTCTGCGGAACGAAGGAGACTGTCAACGGGACGATCCTGCTGGAGGTCGCGGTTCGATCGTTGCAGGATGATTACGAGCTCAGCGCCAGGATCGTGCAAGCGCCGTCGAATCAGAGCGGTCTGTGGCCGCACAACAACAATCCGAAGACCTTCGTCAGCATCATCCAGGACTTTCATCGGGATTATCAGAACGGTCCTATCGTCGTGATGGACAGGTGTGTCAAACGGACAGAAAATTTCATTCTTGCTAACTCGCGTGGCGATTCCGCAATTGATCACTTAAGCGAACAAATCTCATATCATTATTACACACTTTAGGTACGGTGGAGTCGAGGCTGCGCTCTTCGTTCTGCTGACCACACTGAACAAGCAATTGGAATTCGAGCAAAGCGCCGACATCTACATGTTCGCGAAGCTGCTTTACATGAAGCGACCTGGCGTTTTCCGCTCGAAGGTGAGCCCGCACCGTCAAGTCGAAACACTTAGTAGTTTTTAGCCGCATACGCGCGATTAAAAGGGGAAAGTATATTTATTTTCGCAAATCGTTTATCGCTCGCAGGAGGATTACATATTGCTGTACCAGTGTCTGGAGTCCATGCTGTCGACGAAAGGCCGCGCGGAGCCGGATCTGTACGCCATGGCGAACGGGCACGTCGCTACGCTCAACGACCCGAACGAGATCAGGTCGGCCTCGTCGATGCAACACATGCCGCTAGATTATCCATCCAAGTCATCCGTCATTCGCGAATACGCGACCGTAGAAGTCAGTTCCGAATACCTGTCCGACTATACCATTCCCATACGCGTGGACCACCCGATCGAGTCGTCCAGCAGCCGTGGGAGCGAGCCCTGTCTCTCCTCCCACGGCGGCAGCAACGATCACGTAGTACCGTCGGAGAAAAGCATGGTGGTGTCGCAGAGAAACATTAGCTATCATAATCATCCGCCATCCGGCGTCTCCGTAATGGTCGATGCTAACGGTTATATCACAAATGGCAGCATGCGCGTACCCACCGACAGTACGGAGCCCAGCTGTAAGATGATGCCGCAATGATGCCGGCCTATCTTCGGTTGCAGCGCACCCTCACGAAGGTCGGCCCCGCTGTAATCGAGACTGCACCGAATGCCGCAAGTTTAATCACGACCTGGTAAGTGCCACGCGCCGAATCCTCCCCCCCCTCCTCCCCCGAGATGCACGACACGTAAGAGAAAATGTATTTTCTTCACGCAGACTGATCCCCCCGCGTCCGCGGAGGAGGTGTGACAGTTCGCATCCAAGGGAGAACTGGAGGATCTTCGAGCGGATTTCTTAGTGTACATAGAGCTAACGTGAATGTTAAGAGAAACAAAAAGAAAAAAAAAGAATCGAGAGAGAAACGCGAGGGAGAGAAATTTCGGTGAGGAAACCCGGTTTTCCGGCGCGTGAACGGACAGTGCCAAAACAAAGAGACAATGTTGCCGCCGATGCACGCCGGATGGGCGATGCCTATCACTCTTGTCCGTCGCGTAAGTTTACGTTGTTCAGTCTTATTTTGTATATATTGCATATACATATATATATATATATAAAATTATCGATATACACAACACACACGTACGCTCGCGCCGTATATGCATAATACGTATAAGTGCATACACTCACATACACGCTACATAAAACAAAAAAATATATAAATATAAATATATTATATATATATATATATATACATGTGTAGGAAAATTTGTGTGCGTGTGTGTGTGCGTGCGTGCGTGCGTGCGTGCGCGCGTGTAAATATACACGCACGTCGAAAATCCGACAGCTCCGAGTTGCCAAAGAAATCATTACGATAGCCTAATTGTTAGGACGATATTACCGCGCGCGGAGATGGGTGTGTACATATATAATATATCATATACGTATACACGTGTATCCACAACTATTCTACGTGTCTTAGTTTATTATACACATTCGCGGAAGGGGTTGGGGGAGGGGGGGGTACACCCAGTCGGAGCGAGAAGCTTCGCGCACACATACACACACACATACACACACAAACACGAATCGGCGATTGTCACGCGTGATATAACGAAATTCAATTTATTATTAAGCGTCTGCCCTCTCTCGTTTTTCATCCACTTCGATTAGCGGCCCCAACACACAACGAGCCCACGCGACGATGCACGGCTTGCCGTGCTTGCTACTGCCATTTATAGCTAGCGACGATCACCCGGATGATCGGCCGCCAAGGGTAGGGGGCGGGGGTGTGATCGTCATCGATCGTCTATCGTTAAAATTAAGCTCGGACGAGCGATTTCGCGCGTAGGTCGCTCGACGCACGCGACTCAAATCAAAACTAACGTGTGTAGCAAGCGTGATATCGTGTTGCCGCGTGTGTACAAATTCGCTTCACGTCCGCGGAACATCCGTAAAAACGAATCGAAACGCACAACTTCGTAGGAGACTATGCTTTTTGATAACGTCTAAAACGCGCAACGTTACTCGTAGGGTGCGATCTCCCTATTATGAAAAATAGCGGGGACTTTTTTTTTATATAGGTGACGTTCACGTAAAGAACCGAAGCGGAGGCCGAAATTCTCTGGCGGAATTAATTATTGAAAGAGAAAGTGACACCGGAACGGTGTCGACTCGCGCTTACTCTTTAATTAAAAATCATAAAGTAACGTAACTCTTTTAACGGTGATGACAATCGCGATATTTTAATTTATACCGTCGCCATGTATCTTGTACCACGGGAACCACGAAACGAAATAGAGCTAAGCGGTACTTTAAACATCCAACTTTTGCATTTCGTATAACACCAAGATCATTATAGCTGTCACGTCGCGAAGAAATTGTTCATCAATCAGTCGATCGGATAATTAATTTCACGTTACCGTAAAGCTTATTAAGCCGCTACTTGCATGACACTAGCCAGCGTGACGAATGATAGTTAGCGAAAATTAAATTGTACAAATTGCGTATGCGTCTCTGCAAGATAATGTTTAATTCTATCGTTTGTCGCTAAGTTTTTAAGCGGAAGGAACACGAGGCTTAGGAGACCGCAGAAAAGATCGAGAATCAACAGATTCTCTTCAGAATCGAAGCTAGAACGCGAAAGTTAGCCGTTTTCCTTGCGTGCAAAGATACTCATCGCGCATCACGTACTGATTTACAAAATGTGTCTTATCGATTACTCGTCACCGCGCGTCACAAAGCGCAGTCAGATATACTTTGCGAAGTGTACATACGTTCTGTCGCTTGGCCTAACTCGTACAGTACAAATTAGTCTCTACTCTTCTTTGAAAGACTACTCATTTAAGTTTTAACAATGAGCAATTACGTGCAGGAGACTCAAAACCGGTTTGTTTCAACTTGCCGAAAAACTAATGTTATAATTAAGTAACCATTCTAATAATAACCGCGATAAGCGTTAGTCAATACTATCGGACGACGTTCCTCCATGATAATCGACAACGTTGTCAGTCAACTCGGATTTTCGCGTCGCGGAAAAAGAGGGGAAAAAAACGAAATAGAATAAAAAAAAACAGAACAGTTCCTCGCGAAACGCGCGCCCAGGTTCACGTCGCATCAATTACACGAGTGCGTGGTGTAATCGCGAAAAACTGACATAATCGTCCGCCTGAATCGCCTTCGGACGAAGTAGAACCGCTGGACGAAAGGGAGAGAGCAGAGGCAACGAGTACAAAGTGGACGAAGTCGGAAAATAAAAAAGAAACGCGTGCAGGAAAGTAAAAGGGAGCAGTGACTCTACACGTTCTGTTTGGTCAACCCGCTGTGATTAGCTACGCGAGAAAATGGTACACGGAGAAAATCGCTTTTTATCATCGATACGTGGAGTCGTCACGATTAGGAACACCAGTACGGACACAAGAGTGATTGTCGAATCGTTCGGGAAAATTAGGACGAAAATCGATTTATCGAGTCGCGCGTTCGTCTCGCGACGTTTTGTGGGATCGCGGGAGCGTGAAAATGGAGGTCTTCATCGAAAGGGACGGCGTATTGACTGTTGCTGTTCCTTTCGCGCAAAGAAAGTCACTCTTTCGAGAAGCTCACGAGAGATAGCGGATAGATTACGCGAATAAAGCAAGCGCACTTCCGGAACGGACCGAGCGTACCTATCATCTTCGCGACAGCGTTCGTCCACCGGACGCGGTGGACCGGTGTACATACGTGGTCTACCAGCCTCGATTGATCACCAACTAACTCATACGTACGAATGGAACACCTATCGAACACTTATCGTCTAATCTAGAGATTACTATGTATATGTATAAAGAACGTGTCTTTTAGTTAACGCCGTTAATAACTTATGTAAGTCACCGAGAGAAACGGAAGCGAGAAGCGATATTATTGTATCATACCTACATATACACGTACACACGCACGCACACATATGTACACGAGAAGCTACGCCGAAGTGGTAGATGCACACCTGACTGACGGACAGCTCACACGAACACGATCGTCGCGCTAATATTCGAGATGAAGAAGAAGAAATATAAATATATATATATAAATATTTATGATATGAATGGCGATCCGGAGAGTAAGATTAATTGTGCGGGCGTGGCGGACGAGGAATCGCGCCCCGTCTTTCGATCGGATTTAACGAGACGGAAGACAATGCCATATAGAAAGAGAGTTGTGAGAAACGGCGCTCGCACGTCCCGCGGGCGCGACCCTGTACAGTTATAGAGCGATACCTCGTCGCGCACGTGCACAAGAGATGCGATCTTATATTGTATTTTACGATATTACACGATTATATGTGTACGTACCTACATGGATAAACGCAAAATAGACGTCTAATGAGGTGTGAGTAAAGCCGTAAGGGGGTGCGATCCGGAGAGGATGAGAGAAGGGGGCGGGGGGAGGGGGCGTGCGCGGCCGCCCGCGTATAATTCGATGATAAAATAGGTGGTGTGTATAGATAATGTAGACTCTAGTCAACATAATATTTGTAAGATGACGCACACACACATTGTCTCGTTCGTTTTCACACCGTTAGTTCGCATCTAGCTCCCCTTGGCTCTTGATTTTCTATTTCTTAATCTCTTTCCTTCCTACGTCGTCCGCTATATACGCCACGATCGAGACGAGTGAAACGATTGAAAACTGCGTTTTCCCGATGTCGTTCGTTCGCCGGAACGGCCGGCCATAAAACGGCTTTGCCGAGAGGGATGAGGGGGGAGGGGGGGGGAAGGGGCAATCATTTTCCTTCTTGTTAATCCCATTTCGAAACGAGCTCTTCTACGAGAGAAAGAGAAAGAGAATGGTTCGCCGATATTAATCGCGGATAATTTCGAAAGTCTTACGACAAGGTGGACGTAAAGGGGTAATCGAGCTCCAGCGCGTTCGTCGGAATTTCTTTTCTTTTACATCCTCAGTATAACAAAGACTGCGACTGTATAACTGTAGTATTCGCGCGGACCACACGTGGAGGGGAATGCGAAACGGTCTCTCGTTCCGAGTTGGTTTTATGTGATATATATACGTACGTATGTGCATATGTGTATTTTATTAAGTGAAAAGAAAGAAAAAAAAAACGCACACACACCGGAAGCGGATCGGGGAGCGGTTCGGGACGGTTCGGGATTGCGCGGATCTCGTTGGCGCGCAGTCGTTCAGAGAGAGAGTCTGTTACTTATACAAAATATGTATATCCAGCGAGAGATATATATTATATACATATATATATATATATATATATAGAACTGAATGTGTTTAAAACAGAGGATGTATATGTCGAATGCCTATCGAAACTTCAATAGACAACCGTGAAAAATCTCACACTTCGATTGTTTCATAACATAAGTTGCCACGATTTGTAACTTTATAATTATCATTTGTAAAGAATCGCCGCACACGACGGAGGGGCGAGAGGGGGAGTAGGCTCTCTCCTCCCCTCCGAGTCCAAACGTAAGCACCTACGGCCTACGGTAAACTGTAAAAAAAAAAAGAAGACGGGGAAAGCTGTTTATACGTATACTCACGATGATGTTTAACGTGCATTAACGATCGGTCGATCCACGTCGCAGGTAAAGCCGAGATCGGCTAATGTACGTAAAAAACTGTAGCGGTAGGGAAGTTCAGGGGAGGGTCCCGAGAGACAACGGGGTATATTCACGAATCCGCGCCATGCCCGATTGATATCCGACGAGAGAGAAAGAAAGAGAGAGAGAGATTTACGCGAAGCCAATACGTAAAAAACGACAGTCAAGACTGCCAAACAAGTACCTACGAGAACATTCCTTCCTTTCTCTTTACCCCTTTTCCTTAACTCTTTCGCTATGGCATCTACGGCAGACGAGAATTCACGGTGTATATTTCCTTTCGATTCGATTTAGAAACAAAAGTTGAAATCTCATGAATGAATTACAAGAAACTTCCTTTCTACGCTGGAAATGTAGCAGTTGTCAAATTAGTGATTTAGCAGTGATCGAGCGGTCGCGAGAGATGTCGAGCGTTTGCAATTATTAATTGATGTATTTCCGTCTGTATAAATAAGAGGAGAGAACTGTAATTATTATTGACTTCAGAAAGTGCACGAGAGAGAGAGAGAGAGAGAGAGGATAATGCAAATATCAATTATAATAATTAATTCGCAATGTGTATTTTCGTTTGTACATAAAACGCGAAGAGACGACTAT